TCAAAAGACATTTAATATCCTCTGGCTTCCTTGTCTGGTCAGCTTCTTGTACTGTTCTGAAATGTACAATAAATGAAATAAGAAATTTTCTGCAATACCTTCTTTTAATTAAAGAATAACATTAATATATTCGAAGAGATACATACTCTTGTCCAAAGATCTTGTCCAAGTTTTCTATTGGTGCATGCTCTTCCGTTGTAGTTGCATTTACAGCACAGGAATTAATGGTAATCTCCGATATTGTAGTAGGTTCAACAAGTTGTTCATAAGTTGGTATTCCGGTACTATAATTACCAGAATGCACTGTTATGGCATGTCAAATATATTTCAATAAAATAAGTCAAACTCAGGTTTCGAGTTCTATTTTTCATTGCTACATTGAACTGTAACTTTGAATCTCACATTAAAATCTGGTTTGTATTGTAATTCAAAATCGACTTTTTATTCTTACCAAACTGATTTCTGTGAAGGTTCATCATTGTTGTAAAATTTGTCGAATGAATATAACCGCTTGTGTCTTTCGTTCGGTTAATTAAGAAATTCTGTTGGTATCGATCCTTTTTTAAGTCGACGTATAACACGTGGTTCAGTACCTTTCGAACGTGGTTTAGTGATTTGTTCTTCGATGCAGTTTGACTTAAAATGTATCTCGCATTCTTTCTGGAAGTAATTTTAATGAAAATTATTGTATAAAGAGGAATATAGGTTATATCCGAGTGATATATAATATGTTAAAATTATGTTAAAAACATAATTTAATTACCATTTTTATTCTTGTATTCTTTATCTTTCTTACAAGCTTCCAACCATTTTGATCGCAAATCCGGATCTTGAGGAAATGTATAAAATATTACATTTTTATTAAATATATAAGATGTCCGATTTTTACAATTTTTTACAAAACAATTCGGCATGATGTCCGAAATAAGAATAACCTATATGTCAGTGTCACGGCAGTGTCATCAACACTGTTCACCTTTGATCTGTTCTTTTTCGCTGCACTGCTGCACTCAGCTGCACTAGTGCATTTGCAGAATAGGTGAAATCTGATTAGTTGATTATACCCCACTACTTTCAGACGACTGCGCATCCACCGGAATGCTTCACCTTGTATCCTTCCACCATGGTCGGCCCCAGACGCAGGGACTGACCGCTTCGTCACGGAGGATCGGGTGTTGGCCGGCAGACTTGCCGACCAACTCCTCGGACCACCGGGCCCCGCCTGGGAATAAGTCCCAGCGGCCCCGGCGATCCTCAGGCGATCGGGCCCCGCCTTGGATACGTCCGAGCGGCCCCGATCCCCGTCTATCTGGCAGCCCACCCGGGTGACCAGCCCAGGGTCTGCCTCTTCCTACCGGAGGGACCAGACCACGTCCAATCCAACCGCCGGGAAGCCGTAACTTCCGGCCCACCCTTCGGCCAGGACCACGTCCTGTAGTGCCTCCGGGGTCCGGCTCTCCTCCGCCCGCGAGCAAGTCCACGACGAGCTCGTTGACGGAGGAGCTTCCCCTTGCCACTGCCTCCTGCCGGAACACCGGCGTGCAATGGATGACGGTGGCCTCCCCCCGAATCCCAGCCGCCTGCCGGAGCACCGGCGTGCAATGGCAACTGGAATTCCTGCCCCTTCGCCCGGGTTCCCCCCCATCCCTGCCGGAACACCGACGTGCAATGGGATCGAGGGGGAGACGACCCGGTCCGGTGGGTGGAGCATGCTCCCACCTATCGGCCCCGGGAGGCCGGAGGTTTGAACTCGGGGTATCTCATCCCCTACCGACGAGTGGTCTCGGAACTACCTCGATATAACCGTCGAGGCAGCCGAGAACCGGAGTCGTCGGGCTCCTTGTTTCCCCTTTTCAGGGGAAAGGCAAGCTCTTAGTCGGCGAGAGCCCGTCACCGAAACCGCCGATGCCTAAAACGGCACACAGCGGCTTCCAAACAAACGCTCGCCTACAAGCCCCCTCACCACGTCAAGGTGGCTTGCCACGAGGGGGAAATCATATTCATCTTCATCATCCGTGTTCAACGTCGCTGGCAAGTTCTCTGTTGGATTAGCAAGGTTAAATTTACTGTTATTGTGATTTACTATATAAAAATAATTAATTAATTTTTTTAAATGGAACCCCCTATTTTTTATTGCATGTTCTTATAGCTTATCTCGAGAGATTTTCAAAATAAAACATTTTTCATTAAGTATTTTTTGAGTTGTAAAGGTTTGAAGTTAACAATTTTTTGACACAAAATGTTTTTAAAGATATTTTATATTTTGTGTAAAAAAATTGTTAACTTCAAACCTTTATAACTCAAAAAGTACTTAATGAAAAACTGGTTTATTCGTCTTAACTTAACTTAAGTTAACTTAAACATTGCGTTTCGATAGAGCTGTGTTCAACCGACAATCCGTATCGGTGCATAGTTCACAAAAGTCGAAAACATACGCGTAGACAACATCTATACTGTTATTGCGACAAATATTATCATATGCAATAAATGTTATGTGTTGAAAAACACATTGCCAGTTATGGTCGATTAGAAGCTTAATCATTGTTAGTCATTTACTGGCGTCAAAATAATTTTTAAAAATAGTTATATTTTTAAAGAAATTATTCATTTAAACTAGGAAGGCGCAGGGTGCGCCATCTGTTCCTCCGGTATGTAAACATTGAATAACTTCGCCATTTGTCAACCGATTTGCTTTCTTAGACACGTTTTGGAAACATCAAACCAATACAATTTTAACCATGGACCGCTTTACACCGAAAGAACGCGCCGAAATAGTGACGATGTACATTGAAAATAGTCGTTAAATTGTGCTAACTCAACGTGCATATCGTGCAAAATATCGCGGCAAAAAAGCGCCTACCGACAAAACAATTCGGGCGCTGGCTAAAAATTTCTTTGAGCACGGAACAGTGGGTAAATAAACCTACAATCATCCACGCCTAAGACGTTCCAATGAAATTATTGAAGCCGTGAGAGAGAGTGTTGCCGAGGACCCAAGTGTCTCATATCGCCACCGAGCTCAGCAGTTGAACATCAGTGGAACCACTTTGCGGCGCATTTTGAAGGACGATCTCCATTTGTTTCC